AAAAATGAGACTTTGAACAAATACTTTCATGACTGTTTCATTTTTTGCCCAATACAGTAATAGATATGACACGAATTGGAACTTATTATTTACATTGGTGCTATCCATTAGATTATGATAAAATTTGTCTTATTAGGATTTTTGAAGTAAAAGAACTGCTTACAGTGAAATGACACAACAAAAAAATCGTACTGAAAAGTGTGCTGACACTTGCATAGGTCAAGTACAATAATGCTTTAAAAGACTTACATCATCAATATTCCTATTAAAACACAAACATATGTAACCATATATTTCATAGTAACACATGAAAAGGCTAGAATTAAAATAAAATTTTAATTAAATAAAATTAAAATAAACTATTTTAATTTGTTAATGATCATCAAAATTGTTTTCTATGATTCATAGATCCCTACCTCTAGAACTTTGTTTGACAGTTTCAACCTGCTCTCTCATACTTACACATCTCACAAAGTGTTTAAGATGTGGCTAAAATCAAGGGTGAGTCCTTTCTCCTCAGGTGTGATTTTGATTTTTTTTTTTTAATGAGAGGTGGATGATTTTAGTCATGAAGAGACTTAATCAAATAGTAATTCAATTTCCTTTTTGTTTCCTATATAATATAATGTTTAAATATAATTTATGCATTTTCTACCRTATGTAAAATTATTCTTCTTCTTTCAAAACACTGTTGAGTTCACCTGGATCTTACTTCAGGGAAGAAAAATGGAAATGGTCTTGCTCATAAACAGGACTTTTTTTCAAGGATAGACATTGTAGTGACTTCTTTTGTAACCCTTCCAGGGACAAAATGATAAGCAATTAAGCCAGTTAGTGTCATTATCTCATAAGAATCAGATCGAATGCATGGATCCTCTTCTGTCCCTTAAAAGTCACTTCAATTTGCCAGTTGACACAATAATTAGGCAAAATGGTTTGTTATAGGAACTCTGTAAGTACCATGTGTTTCTTTTGTTGAAATAAATGGCACTAATCTTCTGGAATCRGTGAACAGAGATCTTGGTCTGAATGACCTGATTACAATAATACACCAATTCTCTTGTTTTATTGTTTGTCATTGGAAATAAGTAGAGATTATAAATGAGTATTAGGAGAATTTTTAAAGTTTACTAAATGCAATTTGACAAAGGGACTTCTGCTACAGAAAAGGACTTAGAAATGACCTACCTTGATGCTGAGGGATCATTTTGTGCTCCCCACTGTAATTCTTCATGGGTAAGGGTTACACTGCTCTCCAGAGTTCCCAGTTCTCTGGTGTATGGAGTGAGTAGTGAGGATTCTGCCCTCCCCTCCACTGCTCTCACACATTGTGGTCTGTGGGTGAGAAGGTTCGGGGATTTTTTTTTTTTTTTTTTTTTTACTGATTTGTTTTGTAGCCTATATTTCAGGAAAGTTTGCTTAATTTTTATTTCTTGTCTCTATATTTCTCTGCCTCTCATTCTTACCCTGATATAGGTTCTGAACTTATTTCTGGCTTTATTGCTGAGTTCATTTAGTTCTGACAATCTCACAGCAATTGAGGAAGACACGGATGCAAACAACCTCCAGATTGCTGTGGCCAGAATCAAAAAGGGAATAAATTATGTGAAACAGACCTTGCGTGAACTCATTTTAAAAACATTTTCCAAAAAGCCAAAAATGTCCAGGGAGATAAGACGAGCAGAAGATCTAAATGGCAAAAAACACAACTATATCTCAAACCGTACACTTGCTGAAATGAATAAAGATCACCCCTTCCTCAAGGGAAAAGATAAAACCAGCGGGTTTGGAAGCAGTGTGGACAGAAGCTTGATGGAAGGAAGCRACTGTCAATCCTTTATTCATAATCCCAGCCTCACAGTGACAGTGCCAATTGCACCTGGAGAATCTGATTTGGAAAATATGAATACTGAGGAACTTAGCAGTGATTCAGACAGCGACTACAGCAAAGAGGTAAGACTGTTTTACACACATTGTTACATGTTACCAACTAGTAGGACATGAATCAAATTTCAGATGTCTGTTGTCCTCAGTTTTTTCCAACATTGCATAGGCTAATRGACAATGTGTGGGTGAGTTTACACAACAATGTCCTGAAGGTTCMTCTGATAAAGTTTTCTTCTTGATTCTTAGTAATTAATTTAATCTTACTTTGCTGTATTTGAAAGCACCAGGTATCTTTGATGTTATCATCATCCTTCATCCCATGTTAACAATTGTAAAGTCACAACAGAGTCCTTCCAAATTCTGTTGAATGCGCCTTTCATCGTCATCTTCACACTCATTGCCAGCCCTGGCCACTGAAAGTGAAGTCTCTATTGGTCCCTCTGGCACTACTTTCCATCTACTCTAATTAACTTATTAGGTTAATTTCACTCAGATTTAATCTTAAACACATCACCCCACGATGTGTTTATGGTCCCCAAATTCTCCTGAATTATGCATTGTATATATAGCCACCACCCTAGAGCCTCCAGGAGCTTTAACCAGCTGTATGTCTTCATGATCAGCTGTAGAACCATCACCTGGACCAGTCTTCCTTTCAGATCATAAACACTTTCTACCTGTGTGACATGCTTGTGATTTCCTTCTGCAGCCAAAATCCTATATTCATTCTTCAAGGCATAGTCCTCAGATTCTTCATCTATAAAACTGAGTATTTAAACTATAATTTACATTAATATTCAAAGTGTTTAGAAAAATACCCAGTGTTCCAAGGTGTTACCCATTGTATCTAATCTCTGCCCAAATGGATGGAATCTTTTCTCATTTTTAATCTGATACTGTCTTTCTTGGATTTATTATTTAGTCTTGTGTTTTAATGTTTTTGAAATTATGGTATGCATCAAATTGTACTTTAAACTCATTGAGAACAGGAACATCTTTAAAAGCTTTCTTTTGGGTCCTCTTTACCCATCTTACCTGTATATTTTTAATTGAGTCAAAGTATGTGTTGAACTATAATTTACTATGATGAAATACAACTACCACAAGTGAATAGTATCATAAATGATTTTTATGTCATTGCTTAAAAGATGCTTCAAGCAAGATTTACTTGMTTGAAAATAATTTTATTTCTTTAGGTCACATTAAAAAATAGTTGACAGATATTTGCCAAACATCTTATATCTGTTTAACCCCACTAAGACCTGCTCTCTGTGAGTTTATAGTGGATATAGAAAAGAAGGTTATATGGAATAATGATGAACTACATATTAATCATGAACTATATATAATATATATATTATATATATATATATAGTCATATATATGTCATGTATACTGTAAATGCTCAGTGCTTACATATTGTGAGAATAAGTGATTAAATGAAACTTTTTATTTAGTCAAGGAAATTTTTTCCAAGATGCTGAAATAAGGAATAAAATATTTTATATTTTAAGTCCTTTATATACMAGAAATAATGCTTTGAAAAGTTATTTATTTTATCTTAAAGGTAGAATCTCAGATTCTGCACACTTTCATGGTAGCAAGTATCTGAGCTTGGTCTCATATAGAAAGGGAAATTAACTCAGTTACCCATTTTTGTATAAAGAAAGATTTAAAAAGATTGAAAAACCTCAGTTGCCTGTCAGACAATCACTCTCTGTGCAAGCTTAGGACTCTAGGTGTTGAAGCACKTCAGGAATTGCAGGGAGTAAACCAAAGTGATTTCATTTATTGAGTATTTTGGTACCTGAAATAGACTGTTACTGTTACTGATTAAGTTACTGTGCCACCTCTCCCATGAAACATTCCGAAAAATCATCTTGAAGTGTGCCACCTTCAGGACATTGAAACCCACTAGACAATATACTAGAACAGAGCAAGGAGGAAGTTTCAACATCTATAGGAAATGATAGCTCAGAAATATTAAGCTGTGSTCAACTGGGAAATCCATGTGTCTAGAGTCTTCATTTCCAGCTGTTTAAGATTAGAATGTTTCTGGAATAACTTTTCCTTTATTGTTTTTTGCGCTTCAGTTTAAACCCATGAAGTGCAAATTTTCTTTATCTAAAGTATCTCTAACCCCTCTGTGCGAACCTTCCCTGCTCTAATTCCCATGATCTTCTGCTCCCAGTTGAATTTCCAGCTTCTCAAACTGCTTATTTTCTCCTTTGTACTTTCTTCTTGTTTCCATCTCTTAGATGTCTTTAAAATCCCKATTGTCACATTCCTGATGAGACTTGATGAGCCAGAGAGGCAGATCTAGATTACCTAATAAAATGTAACTCAGAATTTCTTACATTCAGGTCATCTGGGTCCTTATAATTTCCTTGGGGCATGATTAAGAATACAGGCTCTCAAGAAAGAGTGCTTGCCTCAAATCCTAGCTTTGATTTTTACAAACTCCATTATCTGGAGTAGTTCATTAAGACAGTAAAAAAAAAAAAATACACACACACACACATACACACATACACACACACAAAGAGAGAGAGGGAAAAAAACTGCTTTTTTTCAGTTTACTTACATGTAAAATAGAAATGCAATGAAGATTACAAGACTAATAGACAATGTCTGTCAAAAAGTAAGTGTTCAACGAACAATTGTTGTAAGTATAGAATTGGATCATCACACACACACACACACACACACACACACACACAGTCAAGAGCTATTTGATATGAAAAGAATTTAAAAGAGGTAACATGATGTCGGGCAGTGGTTCACAAATTAGTGTGTGGAAGACATTTGGGGAGCTTGTTACAAAGGCCTTTTCTAGACATAGTCTCTGAAATCTGCCTAAATCTGAATGCAACCTCTGAATCCTTATCAAGACTGTTCCTAGTGACTACTGTGATGGATGGAGTTGTCGTGGGAAGTGAACCTACCTTCTTCCCTGACTTGGGTTCATGTTCCTGATATATCATTTTGATTATTCAGGTGCTGTTATGTTTTTTGCATTTGACTCTTTAAAGACCTTTATTTTCAACAAAGGGAAAGAACATCAAGGGCATTTGACACCTCTCCCTCTTCCTCCCTAAAATCCCCTGTCTGTATGACCTAGTACCCCATTTCCCAGTATACATTGTAGAGATATTTCAGTCTACCTTTAACACTGACTCTCAAGAAGGCAGATTTCCATGGCGGGTACGTAGTTAAATGTACACTCCAGAATCAAGTCAGAATATTTAATAGTAAAACATCTTACCAAGAAATGAGCTCAATTGAAAGGTTCATTTAAACATTTCTGAGAAAACAGGTGGCAGCAGAACATCCACATTTATCAGAACAGTCTCTTTGAATCAAGAAGGCATATGGTCATCTGGAGTATATCCATGAGACTAAATCTCCTGTCGCTGCTTCTCRGAATGTCAGCACTGAATTGACAGCTTCTCTCAGTCAGCCTCCTACTGAGGAGCAGAGCAGCCCTTAAGGCAAAACGCAAACATTAATACACAGATGCGCAGATCTTACCACCGGCAATGGAATGTTTCCTCATTATGGACCTCAAGTGAAGCATGAAATGTATCCATTCATTCAATAAATATTTATTGCAACTTGCTATGCTCCAGGCACTGTGTTGATTTCCAAAGGGAAAATGTCCTGCTCTCACTTAGCTGCAATACAAATCTATCTTAACTTATAAGTTAAAATGTAAGAGCCCAGGGACTGGATATAAGGTCATGAACTGTTTGAACAATGTATTAGTGTCTTAGTGCTTAGGAAACAAACTTGATGACTAAAACAACAGACATTTTTGTCTGGCAGTTTTGGTGGCTGAAAGTCTGAAATCAGTGGTTCACCAGGGCCACACTCTTTCCCAAGATTCCAGGGAAGAATCTTCTGATTTATTTGAGCTTCCTGGTTTCTGGTGGTTTCTGACAATCCTTTCAGCTTGCAGCTGCATCACCACAATTTCTGTCCCCCTCTAGATGGGTTATTTCCCCTCAGTGTCTCTGTCTTCTCCTCTTATAGACACCAGTTATATTGGATTAGAACCTACACTAATGACCTCAACTTCACTTGATTATATATGCAAAGACCCTATTTCCAAATAAGATCACATTCAAAGGTACCAGAATTAGAATTTTAATGTATCTTTTAGAGAGGATACAATCCATACAAAATATTTTGACTTAGAAGACTGAATGGATATTGATACTCTTAAAATATGCAGAAAGAAGATAAAATTTATGGGGTAGGGAAGATATAGCATTTAGTTTGGGGTCACTTAGTTTTGAGATTCTTGCAGGACAGAAAAGTGAAACTGAATTGTAGGTATTTATTAACATGTCTTAAGGAAAAAAAAATCAGAGCTGAAGACAGGTTGGAATTTTGTATGTTAACTTACATTAGTCATGGGATTATTATGAAAGAGAAATCTGTGTGTAGAAGATTTAATGAGCAGTGTTCTATGAAACAATACCTAACATCTATCAAAAGTGAGGGATTCCAGCTGATTGGGCAGAGGGGGATGTTGAAGTGCTATAATTACAACAGAGGTCTTGGTTGATCCTACAGTGTCCCTAGTAATAGTATGACACTTTGGCATAGACCCAAATTAAGGGAAGAGGGTAAGGCAGCACCTCTGTTCCATGATAATTTCCAAAGAAGGACTAGGCTGTGAGCCATCTGCATCTAACCACTTCTGGAAGCTGAAACAATCAATGGCTCACCAGAGAGTGGGATCTGAGTTGCTCTCCACAGCATCTCCTACACAGCAAGGAGCACAGAAAGTTAAGAGGACACTTGATCTCCTCAGCAATGCCAGAAAAGCAAGCACACACACACACACACACACACATGCAAAGGGAAATATGTAGACTAGCCACTTTGATTCACATTATAAAATTTTTCTCCTCATAATAATCCTAGATAGTCCATGTAATTAATCTGTATTTGTAGAGACTTGAGACTAAAACAATGAGAAAAGATGTTATTACTTCCTTATGCTTCTGGGGCTTTCTAAAATTTGAAGTCCTGGCTTTAGGCACTATCTTGCATGCCAC